AACATTAACGGAGGTTTTAAGCTTCTTCGTCGGACGGCGAACACTCACAGCTCTCTCCTCTTCTTCTTCCACAGTCTGATCGATTTCAATTCGTCCTTCGTCACTACCACCATCTTCATCTCCGCCTCCGCCGCCGCCAACTGGTGATTCCGGTGGCGATTCCTCTTGCTCTTCCTCGATTGCTGCTTCAAATGGATCCTTCGAATGCTTCATTGCTGATTAAAACCTAAAAACGAAAAAACCACATGAATCGAATCAAATCGATTAGGGTTTCTAGAAGGGGAACGAGTTCTAACGCAACAAAATCAGCGAAGATCTTTGAAGAACCTTTGATGGATTCTTCGGTGTAAACTCAGATCCAATTTCAGGAAGAAGCTCACAAAAATTTTGAGGAAATTTTATTTTTGATTTCAAGTTCTAATGTGTGGTTTCTATAGGCAGTGTTCTAATCGGTTTAATCGAAACAAAATTATGAATCCAAACCAAATTTCTGAACCGGATATTGTTAAACCGTAACGAAAAAGTTTGAGCCCATATTAAATTGATCGAACCTATCATTTGGGTTGGGCTCGGTTGAACACCGATTTGAAAATTGAACAAAGTGTAGGCATTTGCAGCATTATTTGGAAATTTCCCCCCCAAAAAATTATGTTTCAATTGTTGAAAAAAGGGATTTAATGTTGCAAATTGGTTTATTAATAAATTAAATGAGACGATTAAAAAAAAATAGTGCTTCAAAATTTTTTTTTGTTGCAAATTCGATTTGGATACATTTTTAAAATAATTTTTACTTTTTATAATGGATGTAACATTTTCATATATCAAATAATAATATCAATATTTCTGAAAGATAAATATTAAAAAAAAAAAATTATTAGAGTGATTTTCCGTTTACCAATTAAACAGCAATTAATAATAATATTTTGTAAGAATCGTTTTTTTTAAACTGACAAAATACTACCAAATACAAATTTGGAAGAAACCAGACCAAAACAACACAAAAACATATTCTAGAAAATTACGATCTAACAAATAACCTATTCTGGAAAAAGCTTTGCAAGAGCTCCAAAAACACTCAGTAGGGATTGATTTAACTAATTGTGTTGGATTGTTTGAATGTGGAA